TGAGACATTAGCAGGCAAGTGTCTGCAGCAAAAATAAACATAACACCAGCCTGTTCCATTCTGAATGGCCCAGCAGCAGCGAGAGAGAAGATAAATGAGCCAAAGATCAAACCTCTACCTCTCCATAAAGGTTCTTACAGACTGGGGTTTCTATACCATCAGCTGGAAATTGGTATCTGTAAAGCAAATCACGTTCTTGCGAAATCTCTTTATAAAAGAATAAACCCGGAAGAGTACACCAGGGAAGCATCGCTCTGTACGTGCCCGGCTTTTTCCAACGCCCTTGCAGGCAGCCGGTGCTCGTAACAGGGCGCTGGGCTAAAGAAACCCTCGGTCCGCCTGAACACGGTCATTCTTATTCAGAAGGAAGTAACGTTAACACTGACCTGTTTGAGCTGCTCGTCCAACCGCCAGTTCTGGCGTCCAGACGGGGAACCGGCATACGGTTGCTTAGTAGCGTCTTTACCCTGTTCTTCTTTGCCCTGCTGTCCCCGCTGGTGCCCCGAAGCTGGGAGAGGATTAGAGGTAGAGGCCACTCTTTGGTTGTGATGGGCAACTTTGGGAGCATGAAAGTATTTCAGAGCAGAGCAGGTTTCTTTTCCAGTCACATCAGCGCCATCCTCAAGATCGCCACCTTCCTGACCCCCTTCTTCCTCCTCCTCCTCCTCTTCCTCCTCCTCTTCTTCTTCTTCATCCTCCTCTTCCTCTTCTGGCTCTGAATTCATGCTGCTCTGATCAAAAGCCCGCGTAGCTCCGGCTGCAGGTGGGCCTCTGGCCAAGGGACCAACAGCGGAGCCGCCCGAAGCCCTGCCAGATGTGGCTGCTAGGACGGCCTGCTGCACGGCCAGCTGCTGAGTGTAGAGCAGCTGGGCTTCTCTCATCTGCCTCTGCTGTCTCTCCCTGGAATCCATCTGCAGAGGCGTTTGCTGCTTCTGCTGCTGCTTCTGCAGCTGCTCGACCACAGCTTCCAGCTTCATCCCGCAGTTTGCATGGCTGGGAAAAGAGGGGGGCGTTTTTGACTTTATTTGGCAGGGTTCAAGCCCCGACCTTGGGAGATTGGCAGAATCTGAAAGATAGACAAATATTTGTCTGTATGAATATAAAATGCTTTCATCTTTTCCCCAGGAAGAGGATAAATAGACTGCAAAGCCAATACTCTTTCCTGTGCAGGAGACCGTGAAACAATCAGCTTCATGTTTAACAGCCTCAGGCTCAAACTTGCATTCAATTTTCAGACTGTTTAATTGTATTTTCAAGCTGAACACATTTGCTATAACCTCAGTTTCATATACCCCAAAGACAGCATCTGAAATGCCTTTGTCCACTCTCCCAGCAGTTCGGTTTTTTGTCAGAATCCTTCCACGCTTCCTAAATAATTACTTTTGAAATGTTAGGTTTAACATCTAGGGTTTGGTTCTTCTGAAAACACTACCTTAAAAGGAGAGAGCCGGGATGATAAGCTTGCCCATATTTCTATTAAAAAATGGGCAGGAATTTATCGCACACCAGTTATCTCTAAATTCTTTTAGGCTTTCATTACGTTACTAAATTCTTTACCCTTTATACGTCTTTCTTAACCCCCCCCCCCCCTATATTTAGCCATTGTTTTTCCCCAGAAGAGCGAGACGAGAGTAAAGCAAAGACCACTGTAGCCTGAACCAGACTGCTGAGCACCGAGCAACTCCTGCCTCTGGTTCCCAGAGTTGCCAGCGCATCTCAAGCCCCGGCCGTGGCCTCCCTTCGATTTTCCCAGCCCAAGGACCCGGGAGGTTTCCCAGCTCTCCATTTTGACCTGCAGCAAGCCCATGCTGAGCCAGCACTAGCCTCCTCTTGAGCGAAGACCAACAGGACAGACCGCAGTCGGAAGCACGGCTCTGATCTAGTGTAAATCCTAGAAAGACGACTACGCCTTTAATCCCCAGCCATCAAAATCAGCACATGTATTTTGGACTTTGTGTCGCAGACTGGACCTGCTGACAAAGACCGTCCTTCTCAGGTTTGGGTTTTGGGTTTTTTTTAACGTAAAAAGATGCTTAAACGGATCCCACTTGCTGCCCTTCAAGGTTCATTGATATCAAAATACAGTCAGCTTAGAGAAACAAAGGAAAGGCCAACTACAAACAAGCTACAGAGTCTCCCGGCCACCTCCCACCGCCCTGCTAACAACCAGCACTGCGCTATTCAAGCCACATACTTGAAAAAAAAGAGACTACGTTGCTAACGCGCATTTTCAAACCAGGCACAGTTCTGTTCTAAACCAGCAAATAACCTACCAGCCACCAGTTTCAGAAGTGCAAGACCACTTCCAGCATCCCCACCGCAACTCCAAGTCTTCCTCTAAGGCGGTCAGACCCCCGTCTCTCGTGCAAAGCGCCCGCGAGCTAGGATGCCCAACTCATTCTTCCTCTGCAAACTCTTCCCCGTGCTAAATAACAGCCCATCACCAAAATGAAAAGCCTGGCCGGTGCATTTGCATTTTTATCTAGCAGGCAGCAGCATAGCTTTAGCTTGCAAATGAAACAATATAAAGTGGATTAGTGGTTTGAATGTCAGGAGCAATAATGCATTACCTGGCAGCTGAAAAGAGTCTTAGACTCGTTGGGAGGGCACAATACACCATCTGGCCTGGCTCCACACACACACACACACACTCCTCCAGTGAAGCAACAACCAACCGGTGCGGGTGTTGCAACAGCAACCGTAAACCAGGCTAGAGAACCTACAGCCCACACCTTGCCGTACGTTGTCGCACCCGGGGCACGGTGAGGTGCCACCTCTCCTGCCTGGGGGACATTCAGCAGGGCGTGCAGTTCATACACGCCTCGGGTGCGTTAACGATAATAAACGACCCGATACTCGGTTAACGCGCCGAGCAAACACACCTCAGGTGCAGCAACACCCTGGTTTGTGTTGACCGCCTATTTCCCGGAGTTCAGGTACAACGGCGCGCGCGGCAGGTTACGGCAGGATTCGCGC